AAACTTCTTGGCATTTGTTTGTTTGTTTAGCTGCATAATGCAAATGAAAGCACCATTATTCTAGAAGAGTTGGCTAAATCATCTTTCACTGACAGAACTTTTGAGAAATATATTTTCGACAATTCATTTATAAATGATTTCAAAGTCTTCAACCTCAATCATTTTTTAGATAGGTCACTTGATCAGTGAGAATGTTAATCCCTGTATTTTGTGTTAGGAGACATTTCTCCATGGGTCTCTCACACTTCTGAGTGTCTTAGTAGAGGCGCTGGCTGCTTTCATTCTTAACTATCTTTCAAGGATATGTATATAGCGAACAGCTTAGAAAGACAGAGACCGTATCTCCCACCAGACTGTCCAGTACAATGAAGATATCTCACTCCAGGGTAAGGCTGGGCAGGTTTGCCTGCAGCCCTTTATAAAGAATTTGATTTACCTAAACCTGGGGTTTTACAGCTGTGACACAAATCCACTGCACATGCAGTAGCAAATGAGCTACTCTGATTGCCCCTGTGGGACCCATAGGGAGAAGGAATGGAATCAACTCCTCCTCTCAGTGGTGGCATTAGATTCTCATAGGAGCGCGAACCCTATTGTGAACTGAGCATATGAGGGATCTACGTTGCATGTTCCTTGTGAGAATCTAATGCCTGATGATTTGAGGTGGGACAGTTTCAACCCAAAACCATCCCCCTACCACCCCATCCATGAAAAAACTGTCTTCCATGAAACCGGTCCCTGGTGCCAAAAAGGTTGAGGACCGCTGCTGTACAACACCATCCACCCAACAGGATGTAATGGACATTTATGGAACACCCCACTAATGACTGCAAAATGCACATTCTTTTCAAGTATCCACAAAATAGATGCCAAGACATCCATATTCTGCACCACAGGAAAAAACCATGACGAGTTTAAAGAAGTGAAATTAAACAGTGTGTTCTCTGACCATAGTGGAATCAAATTGGAAATCAGAAACAGAAAGCTACCAGCAAAGTCTTCAAACACTTGGAAACTAAGGAACAGACTACTAAACAAGCCCTGGACCAAAGAGGAAGTCCCAAAGGAAACTAAGGCCAGGTTCGGTGGCTCACACCTGTAATCCCAGCACTTTGGGAGGCTGAGGTGGGCAGATCACTTCAGGTCAGGAGTTCGAGACCAGACTAGGCAACATGATGAAACCCCATCTCTACTAAAAATACAAAAATCAGCTGGGCTTGGTGGCAGGCACTGTAATCCAGCTACTCAGGAGGCTGAAACAGGAGAATCGCTTGAACCCAGGAGGCAGAGGTTGCAGTGAGCCGAGATCACTGTTCTCCGGCCTGGGTGACAGAGGGAGACTCCGTCTCAAAAAAAAAAGAAACTAAAAATACACTAAACTGAATAAAAGTTGGACACAGTTAAAGCACTGTGAAGAGGAAAATGTATTGCACTAAATGCATATATTAAATGAGAAAAAGTCTCAAGTCAATAATCTAAGCTCCCACCTCAAGAACCTAGAAAATCAAGAGCAGAACAAACCCAAAGCAAGCAGAAGGAAAGAAATAATAATGAGCGGAAATCAATAAAATTGAAAACAGAAAACAGAAAATCCATGAGAAAAGAGCTGATTCTTTGAAAAGATTTTTTAAACACTGAAAAATCTTGAGCAAGACCAGCTAGGAAAAAAAAAGAAGGCACAAATAACCAGTATCAGTAATGAAACGGACGATATCATTATAGGCTCTGCACATATCAAAAGGATAATAAGAGAATACGAACTAATTACATACATACATTTCACAGCACAGACAAAATGGACCAATTTCTTTAAAAACTCAAACTACCAACACTCACCAGTATGAAATAAACAATATGAATAGCCCTATAACTATTAAGGAAATTAAATCCATAATTTAAGAATTCCCAAGAAAGAAATCTCCATAAGAACCTGACGGGGTTCCTGGAAAAAAGGAAGGAAGGAAGGGAGGAAGGAGAAAAGAAAAGAAATCTCCAGTCCTAGAAGGTTTCACTAGAGAACTCTACAAAACATTTAAAGAAGAATTAACATCAATTGTACACAACCTCTTTCAGAAAACGGAAAAGGAAAGAACATTTTCTAATTCATTTTATGAAGCTAGTTTTTCTACAATAATAAAGCCAGACAAAGCCATTACTAAAAAAAGACAACAACAGACCAATATCCCTTATGAATATAGACATGAAAATCCTTAGTAAGACATTAGCAAATAGAATTTAGCAATACATAAAAATAATTATACACCATGACCAAGTAGTTTTTTCAAGAGAAGCAAGGTTAGTTTAATATTTGAAAATCAATCAATGTAATCCACCAAATTAACAAGCTAAAGAAAAATCACACGATCACATCAAGTGATACAGAAAAGGCACCTGACAAACATCAATGGAGATTCAACATCCATTCACAATAAGGACTCTCAAAAAACAAGAAAAGAGGGGAACATCTCAATTTGATAAAGAGCAACTACAAAAAACAAACCAAAAAAAAACAAAATTAGAGCTAACATTAGACTTCATGAAGAAAGACTAAATGCTTTCCCCCTAAGATCAGGAACAAGGAAAGACAGCCATTCTCACCATTCTTACTCAACCTGCTGCTGGAAGTTGTAGTCAGTGAAACAAGGCAAGAAAAGGAAATAAAAGGCAGAGAGTTGAGAAAGGAAGAAATAAAACTGTCCCTATATTTGCAGATGACATGATTATCTACACAGAAAATCCCAAGAATTCTCAAAAAAAAAAAAATCTTAATGAATTTGGCAAAGTCACAGGATACAAAATAAACACACAAAACCAACTGTATTTCCAAATAGTAGCAAAGAACACATGGAATACAATATACAATACGAATACAAATACAAAATACAATAACATTTGCAATCACTCAAAAACAAGTATTTAGGCATAAATCTAACAAAACATGCACAACAGTATTGAAATTAGGCCAATTAATAACACTGCGATGGCCTCTAGGTTTTCAAGTGACAGGAAGCATTGTTAGTCTCTCATTTTAAATCAAAAGTTAGAAATGATTAAGCTTAGTGAGGAAGGCATGATAAAAGCCAAGACAGGTTGAATATTAGGCCCCTTGCACCAAACAGCCAAGTTGTGAATATAAAAATAAAAATATTAGCCAGGCATGGTGGTTGTACCCATAGTTCCAGCTACTCGGGAGGCTAAGGTGGGAGGATCGCTTGAGGCCTGCAGTTCCAGGCTGCAGAGAGCTGAGATTGTGCCACTGAATTACAGCCTGGGTAAAAGAGTGAGACCCTATCACACACAAAAAGAAAAAAAACAAAAAACTAAAAAACTAAATCAAAGCAACTGATCTTTGAGAAGTGATAATTGCATTATCAAAGTACCTAATCGTGACAATACCCTAACTTAAAACCTGCTGACTAGGGGATGTATTTGACTGCAAATCTGGCCCACACAAGCAATCTGAGTTTTCATCAAGGAAGCTGTAAGCACCAAGTAGAGCAAAACCAAATCCAGGCCTCAAATGGAAAAAGCAGCTCTGAATTGTGATTTTCGAAGAAACCTGCATTTTTTACACTTCAGTGTACTTTCCCCATATTTAACTCCAAGATTTTTGTTAATTTGTTTCGTTTTTCTTTCTCAAACAAAATTCTCAGACTGAAAACCCTAGATTTGTTCCCTATTGCATCTTCATTTCTTCCCAAACCGTCCATAAAACCTCACCTACATTAAGTTAGCAAGTTAAGTCTGAAAGTATCTACCTCCCCTGGGGAGGGGGAAGGTGTAGGCAGGGCAGAGAGATTTGTAGTCCAGCCCTCTTGCCACAAATTATGAATTAGAGAGGAAGGATTTTGCTTTTTTAACGATCTCTAGAGAATTTTCCATCATTTCCCTCTCTTCACCTAGCTCCTTTGTAACCACTGCCAGAGAAGTCTTCCTTTAGCTTCTTAAACATCGATCCTAAAACACTTCCAGACACCTGTGCTGCTCCTTTCTGTTCCCATGGAAATTAGTCTCTGTAACAATCTCGCAAACACGTTCCCCTCCGTCTCCTCGTCCTCTTTTCAAATCCTTTTACGATTTCTCATCTCACTCAGCATGACAGTCAAAGTCCCTGTGAAGGCCAACTTCTACATCACTTAGCCAGCCTGCCACCTCCAAAACTCTCCAGCCTCATCTTTCTACTCTTCCCCTGGTTCCTTGTCCATGCCTTTACACTTGTTCTCTGCTTGGAATCCTCCCTCCCCTCCTTGAGGAACTTTCTCAAATGTCACCTTCCCTCAATACTCCCCCTCCTTCATTTAAAACTATAACTTTCCAACTCTCTAAGCCTCTAAAGAACTTTATATTTAACTTATTCTTAAATATGTGCTGAACACCTGGTCCCGTCCAAGTTTGTTAAATCAAGACAAATAAGACACTGTCCCTGCCGTTAAGGCACCAGATGGAGAAATGCACCACAGACATCAATGTGCAATACAGGACTGATACTAAGGCCACAGGCAAGTTAAAGAACGCGTGCCAAAAGTTCAGAGGAAGAGGCCTCGGCTTCGCCTTTCTGGAGACCAGTCCAGCTTTCCACCATCACGCAGCTCACCAGGGACCATCTCCGGGGGTCTCCTCTAGACCCCAAGAGACGAGCGGGTCCCGCCCACCATTCCCAGGTCTGAGAGTTTACTTGTCCAGAGAAGCAACTTCCGGCCTCTGCAGGCCGGGCAAGAGATTTAAGGAAAGAAAAGAAATATATGGACCTCCGCTCTTCGGTCTCCGTCCCCTCCCCTTCCCCCCCGTGCCGTCCCCACAACGGTCCAGTACTGAACCCAACTCTCAACCAACTCCCGTCCGCAAAACTAACCGCCCTACTTCCGTGGTCCCCACCTGCTCCCGGCGTCCCCTTCGGCTACTCCCGGCGCGTGCGCAAGCAGTCCCACGTGGGCTCTGGCGGGGCTGGCGCCGCGGCGGGGGCTGGGCACGCCCCTAGCGCAGAGGTGGCTTCTGATTGGCTTTCCGGTGCTCGCCCGAGCAGGGTTGGGGCGAGTGAACCGCGCCTCTAAAAGCGCTTGCCAGTGCAGTCTGAGCGATCGTTTCCTGGTCCTCGCCTCCTCCGCAGTCTCCTTGGAGTTCTTGCAAGGCGGCCAGGATGTCTCAGGTACAGCGCGTGCACAGCCAGGCTGGGACGGTGCAGCGGGCTGGAGGCCTGTTGGTGGCTCACCCGGCAGCCAGAAACTCTCGGGCTCTTTCCTTCCGTGCCCCGCAGTTCCTCCTGGACCCATGCCCAGCCCTGATTCGTTGGACAGAGCCTTGTGAGCGGGATTTTCCGTTTGGGGATTTCTAACTGTGCTGCCCACCCCGCAACTGCCGGAAAGTTGCCCATGGGGTGGACTTCGCTGTGTAGCGGGAGAGGAGTGGGAGTCGAGGGTGCTTGATGGAAAGATGGGGGAAGGGGTTGCACGGATTGGAGGAGCGAGGAGACTCAGTCCCCATCCCGAAGCACAGGGCAGGACGTCGCGGCGGAGTGGGGAAGCCAGGAGGCCGTGGACGGGAGCTTGGAGGTCAGGGGAAGTACGGGGCCGGGTGCTCCGAGTGCGGGACGAGGAGAATCGAGGCCCGGGGAGAGGTGACCCAGGGGCCCCTCCCTTCCCTCCAGTGTAGACCCTTATCGGAGACCAAGCTATGTGGGGCGACCTCTGGCCCCTCCCGCCTGCCTCTGCCAATCCGGGCACTGGGACAGAGGTCAGTGTTGAATGCCCGGGCCTCAGGGGGAGGGAGGGGACCAACGGGCTCCGGCGCTGACACCGGGGCACTCATGCCCTGTCCCCTTTCAGCTGTTTCCAGCATGCTGTGCCGCCTCTGTCCCCAGGCCAGGGCTTAGCTGAAACCCCGGCCACTCCCTAGTGCCTGGCACGGTGGTGGCCAGGCAGTTGGCCGCGCTGCTTCTCCCACTTCTCCCGTGGGGTGGACACCCACTGCGGGCAAAGGCTTGGCCTGCCCTCTTCACTGCTGTATTTCCAGACCTGATGCCTGCGTTTGTGAGAGCGCTGGATACATGGTTTTCGATTGAATGAGTGAACTGGAGGGGCTTCCCCTTCTTGTGTTGCTGAATCTTTCTAGCTGCCCCGTTGGGGCAGGGTGGGGCAGACACACTTCAGGGGCTGCATTGCCCGAAGGGTGCCACCTTTCCCACCTCTCCATCCCTATAAGTGAGCTCTGTTCAGGCCACAGCAGGACTCCTACCCTCTCCCACCCAGAGGAGGCCCTCAGTCCTCTCCTCTCCCTTCCATTTAGGCTGAGTTTGAGAAAGCTGCAGAGGAGGTTAAGCACCTTAAGACCAAGCCAGCCGATGATGAGATGCTGTTCATCTATGGCCGCTACAAACAAGCAACCGTGGGCGACATAAATACAGGTATGCGGAGCGGGGGTTGGGAGGGCCTCTTCTCATCAAAGCAGGCTCAGCAGCCCAGACTGGAAGTCCCTGGGAACTTCACTCTCAAACTGCCTGAGGCCCTACTCTTCAGTTGGGGTATGGTGATGGTTCCTGGGGTGGAAAAGACGGTGTTCGGGATTCTCGGTGTCTCCAGTAGTAGGAGAATTCAAATCCTGGCTTTAGAAGGTCTTTACTGGTTATCACCAGCAGCTCCTCTCTACTAGGGAAGAAGCAAAGGCTGCAGCTTAGAAAAGACTTGCTGTAGGCTCTCAGCTCAGTGGCATCATTGTTGAGCCGTTCAGCTTCTGCCCTAGATGGGAGCACTTGGAGCACTTGACAGCCTGGCCAAGCCTGATGTCAGGAGCAGAGAAGCACCTGGTTCCTTGGGCCAGGTCAGAGCATTTCGCTAACAAGTCTGTGCCTTCCTGATGACAACTTTTTCCCTGTCCGAAAATCTTGGTGCAGATTTCGAGGCTGTACTTTGGACTGTCATGTTCTGTAATAATGTCTTTCCTACCTTGGGCAGGTTTCATTCTGTCCCTAAGTCCCTGAAACATGGGTGGATACTGAGGCAACAGCACAGTGCATTCTGTGTAAGGACTCAAGGTTGTCATGGCAGCACAGAAGGGAGGTCTCCCCTGCCCCTGTTGAGGAGGAAAGTGAACATGGTCCCCATTTCCACAGTAGCTAGGGTGGAAGATGGAGCATGTGGGCTGGCTGCCAACCAGCTGGAAGCAGGAAATGGCACCCAGAATGACGGATCGCAGGCAGTACCAAATCAAACCCTGGGGTTCACATGGAGCACTTAGTTGAGGAAGGTCTTGTGGCGAAGATGGGTTTTACAGTGAGTTCGTAAACTCAGTCCGTCCAGGGAGGGGAAGGAAAAGTGAAGTGGAGGAGGCCAGAGGTGCTGAGATGCTTTTCTGACAGTGTTTTCACAGAGACTGGCCTGTGCCAGTACTAGAGATACCGGTTTTCACATGAGTCTAGATAGACTGGCATGGGAATCTTCCACTTACTGATCAAAGAGGTATCATTGGCTCTCTAGGGCTGTACTATACAGCCCTATTACACAATTATAAAACATGACAGTCCAAACACAATAGTTTAGTACGATAGCCAGTAGCCACATATGACTATAAATTTTAACTGAGGCTGGGCGCAGTAACTCACGCCTGTAATCCCAGCACTTTGGGAGGCCAAGGCGGGTGGATCACGAGGTCAGGAGTTTGAGACTAACCTGGCCAACATAGTGAAACCCATCTGTACTAAAAATACAAAAATTAGCTGGGCATGGTGGCACGTGTCCATAGTCCCAGATACTTGGGAGGCTGAGACAGGAGAATCACTTGAACCTGGGGAGGTGGAGGTTGTGATGAGCCAAGGACGCACCACTGCACTCCAGCCTGGTCAACGGAATGAGACTCTGTCTCAAAAAAAAAAAAAAAACTAAACTAAACTAAAAATAGGTAAATAAAATCAAGTTTAGTCTTCATTCACAGGAGCCACATTTCAGATGCCCAGTAGTCATTTCAGGTACTTGGTGTGGCAAGTGGCTCCTGAATTGGACATTGCAAATGTACATGTACATTTCCATTTCCATCGCTTGGAGAGAGCTGTCGAGGAGTGCTATTCTAGGATCCTGATGATGACCGCAAGGGCAGTTTGTTTTCAGCTGTCCCTGGGAACAGTTCCCTGAAAGCGCTCAGGAACATTTTCTCAGACACAGTGCTCCAGGCTACGGACGCTGTTCCCTTTGGCTTTGGGGCTGGGCATGTTAGTGAAATAGGACAACAGGGAGATGGTGAGTATGTTTCCCAACTGCAGATGATAACAGGTCTATAAGCAAAAAGTCATCATGTAACTTAAAGAAACCTTACCCTTGGTGAAAACACCCACAGATCAGCAAGAAATAGACTAACAATTTGGTAGAAAAATGGGGCTAGGATATAAACAGTTCATAGGAAAGGACACTTGATATCATTACTGATTAGGGAGAGAAACTGGGTAGCTAAGAGCAGGGGTGGGAGAGAAACTTTATAGTATTTTCCTCTGTCGCTTTTGAATTTTAAGCCATATGAATGGATGTTTTAAAAACAATTGTAATTAAAGTATAATTTTTTTAAAGGAGAAATTTTGGAGTCACTTAACTTGTAAGAAAAAGGTTATCTTGTAATAAGAATAGTGTTCTTCCTATTTGCTCTAGATTTTAAGTTTGGATTGGCGTATATCTGGTTTTCTTAGGGCAGAACCCACTCTACTAGACCTATTTAACCCCATGAGAGAGCCTAGAAGGAACAGGTGTAATAGAAGATGGCATTTATGGCAAGGAGGTTGATCAAGTTCTCCATTAGAATTCGAACCAGATCTAATGCCTTTTCTTTCCTTGTTTAAGAACGGCCCGGGATGTTGGACTTCACGGGCAAGGCCAAGTGGGATGCCTGGAATGAGCTGAAAGGTAATTGTTCTAATCAATTTCCTTCATTTGTGAAACCCAGTAATGAAAGAGTCTTCATTATGAAGTGTAAAGGAAGAGGAGAGGAAACAAAGTCAATGGGGCACGTGTGGGAAACCAGCCTGAGCTGTGCCAGAATGGGAAAAAACTGGGCCACCTACTTTTTTTCTAACACTGTTTATGCCTTTTCTAAAAGCACCATCTCTGAGCAGGAGTATCATTTAGAGAGGAGGGGCTGGGAATCAGGCCACTGAAAAATAGTTTGGGAAATGATGTAGTTGGCGTGGGCTTCGGATGTGTTCAGAATAAGGGGTGGTTTCCTGTCTGCAGCTCCCTCTCCCCTACAAGGCCAGGCGGTGACCCCCTAACCCCAGCGGCCCTCCCTAGTTCCCTCCTAGCCAGAAGGGTACATAAAAGAAGGGAATGAGCTAATGCATGGCCTGCCACTGGCATCGTAGGCTCAGTGAATGGAGCCATTATATGCTAAGCACCAGCAGCCAAGAAGTATCCAAGCTCGTACTTAATCACGTGCCACCTGCAGCAGCAAGACCCAAGAGTTGGCACCAAAACTCCTGGCAGCATTGGCGTTCCCGCTGGCTAGTTTCTGAATAAGCCCTCTGTCTTTCTGCATATGAGCAATCTTTGAATTCAGAAAGGGTTACAATACAATAAACACACTCCCAGGATCTGCAAGTAACTGGGAAGGGAATGCCCGTCTGCCTGGCCGTTTTCATGGGACATTTCCATACCATCCTCAGGCCCCATACTCTCCAGTGCTTCACGACAAGCTCTGAGTTCCAGAGGGTCACTCTCCTTCACCACAGAATCCAGGAAACTGGGTGTCACTGTCTCTGAGGGATACCTTCCGTGTCCTTTCTACTGCAGCAAGAAGACAAAGATTTGCCTCATTCCCCTCCAAGAAGCAGCCACTTTTGCTCAGAGTTCCTGAAACTTTTCTCATAGCCTCTCTCTGGGAAGAAGAAGGTGCCTGACTTTGCGTTTTCACTGCCAGCTTAACAGCTCTGGGAGATAGGAGCCCAACCCAGAGATGCTGAAAAGGCCAAAGCCAATGTCAGCCACGAGAGTTAGCAGGACCAGTAAAGTCACCACGGTGACAGTTTCCTGCCCGTCTGGAGGGTGGCACCTCTCCCCCGAGGCTCACACTGGCCATTCCCCCCGGGACAGGTGGGGGATGCAGGTGTCCAGCAGATGGGCGACAGGTCTTGGCCAGCCCCACCAGGCTTTCTGAGTACAGTGGCTTATAGAGCATTCACTTCGGGCCAGGTTCCATGGATACTGTCTCCTCCAACATGTAATTAGTAGAATCTCAACTTTATAAGTGAGACACTGAGCCTCGGAGAGTTACAGCAGAGCTGTCTGGGGCTCTGGAAGCTGCTTATTTCCTACCACGCTGCCTCCCTGACAAATAATCCTATCGATTCCTTACAGGGACTACCAAGGAAGATGCCATGAAAGCTTACATCGACAAAGTAGAAGAGCTAAAGAAAAAATACGGGATATGAGTGACTGGATTTGGTTACTAGGCCATGTGTTTCTCCCAAACTGAGACAATGCCTTGTTTTTTCTAATACCGTGGATGGTGGGAATTCCGGAAAATAACCAGTTAGCCCAGCTACTCAAGTCTGCTCACCATACGGCTCTAACAGATTAGAGGCTAAAACGATTACTGACCTCCCTCGAGTAGTTTTTATCTGAGATCAATTAAAAGTGTATTTGTTACTTTAAATAACTTTAGTGATCTGAGTTCTTGAGATGACTTGCTCTGTCTGACCTCAGCCTTGCTTCCTGTCTCTAAAGACCTCTGGTAGTGCTTCAGCTGCGTACCTGGTAGAGTATGAGGCAGGCGGTCCTGCCCTGCACCCTGGCCCAGGGTGTGCTGGCCCTTTGTGGGGAGGAGGAGGATGGTAGAAGTGGCCTTTCTCGCCTCCTTCCCAGTTCAGCCACACTGAGGAAGATGAGGCAGGCTGGCTGAGACCACAGTCTGCAGGTACTTCTGTCGGGGATGCTCCTGCCCCAGGCCCTGTGCGAGGCAGGGTTTACAGTGTTTGAGGTTTGTCTGAGGCCCAGCTGGTCCCTGATTCCAGAGTGCACGAGCCAGGGTGGAAACCCTCATCAGGAATGGAGTGTGAACCTGACAGGAGGCGTTCCCCAAGTCCCAGGGGAAGCCACAGACAGCTGTCTGGGCAACAGTCAGTGGGCAAGGCGTGTGTCCTCTGCAGGCAGCAGGGAGAAGAATCCTGGGAGCTTGCAGAGGAGAAAGGCTGGAGCTTGACTCTGGAGGACGTAAGAGGTAGGTTGTTGAAAAGTAGTAACGAACAAAAGGAGACAGCTCTCTAGACCCTTCTTGCCAGATGTTACCCTCCAGCTCTTGGATTTACAATCCCGCTGCCCTTTGCGGTGGGGATCATACCTCGATATTGTGTAATGGGGATTACTGTCCCATTATTTGAGTGAGGAAATGAAGGCTCAGAGGTGATTTAACTGGATCCAAGCCCAGGGCTTACTGGCCGGGAGGGCCCTGTTTGTCCCCCTCCACCACGTTCCCTCTCATGGTCCCTGGCTGCCACTTAGTCTGCATCTCTGCTGTGTCGCAGCAAGTGACATCTGTCTGTCTGGGCTAGCGTAAGGTGCTGGTGTGAAATCTGTCCCTTGACTGTGCAGCTCATTCCAGAAGAGTGGCTTAGACAGTGAGGTCCCACTTCCAAAGCTGGAGTGAGGCACAGATGAGAGAGACTTTTAGGCACCTCAGGTGACTAGGTCATAGCCGGTTTGGGAGATGCCCTCCCCCCTCACTAGCAAGTACTTTACTGGTTTCTCAGAAAGTACTGTTTGTGCAGTTCTGAGAGCACCAGCAGCCTGGGGCTGCACCTGCTCCTGTGGCTCCCACAGGAGTCCTTGTACCACCCAGGGCTGGCTCACAGGGTGTCGCTTGAGGACAAATTATCGGGGGAACCTGCCCCCAATATTTCAACATACGTTCTATTTTCCATAAGTGTTGGCCAGCTGAGAAATAAAGAGAAAGAGTACAAAGAGAGGAATTTTACAGCTGGGCCGCCAGGGGTGACATCACATATCGGTAGGACTGTAATGCCCACCTGAGCCTCAAACCAGCAAGTTTTTTATTAAGAGTTTCAAAAGGGGAGGAGATATAAAACAGATACAAAGATCACGTGCTTCAAAAGGCAAAAAGCAGAACTGCTAATAAGGGCCTAACAAAGATCACATGCTTCTGAGGGAACAGGACAAAGGGAAAAAGCAGAACTACTGATAAGGGTCCAACAAAGATCACAAGGCAAAGGGCAAAAGCAGAACTACTGATAAGGGTCTATGTTCAGTAGTGCATGTATTGTCCTGATAAACATCTTAAACAACAGAAAACAGGGTTTGAGAGCAGAGAACCTGTCTGACCACAAATTTACCAGGATGGAGTTTCTCCCCACCCTACTAAGCCTGAGGGTACTATAGGAGACCAGGGCATATCTCAGTCCTTATCTCAACCTCATAGGACAGACATTCCCAGACAAGCGTTTATAGCTACCCCCCAGGAATGCATTTCTTTCCCAGGGTATTAATATTAATATTCCTTGCTAGGAAAAGAATTTGGTGATATCTTCCCTACTTGCACATCTGTTTATAGGTTCTCTGCAAGAAGAAAACTTTGGCTGTTTTTGCCCAACCCCGCAGGCAGTCAGACCTTATGGTTGTCTTCCCTTGTTCCCTAAAAATTGCTGTTACTCTGTTCTTTTTCAAGGTGCACAGATTTCATATTGTTCAAATACACATGTTTTACAATCAATTTGTACAGTTAACACAATTACCACAGTGGTCCTGAGGTGACGTACATCCTCAGCTTACAAAGATAACAGGATTAAGAGATTAAAGTAAAGACAGGCATAAGAAATTATAACAGTATTATTTGGGAACTGATAAATGTCCATGAAATCTTCACAATTTATGTTCCTCTGCTGCAGCTCCAGCCAGTCCCTCTGTTCGGGGTCCCTGACTTCCTGCAACATCTCTCCCTTTCTTTTTATATAAATGTGCCATGGTGATGAAGTCTTGTTCATTCTCTCGGTTTTGACGCAGGATTCTTTGACTGGTCCGGCACACTAAAAACAAGCCAATTAAACAGAGAAACATGATTCCAAAATTTACTACAGTGGAGCCCCCAACAGACTTAATCCAAGTCGTGGGGTTTAGTCCAGAAAGACTTTCTGCCACCTGATCTAATGCCTCAACTCCAGGCACAATAGATAAATGAGCTTGAGAGGCTTCAAAAATTTGTTTCTTTAATTTAGTTATGTCCAAGGATAAATTATCTTCCCTACCCAGCAGGTGTCCTTTGACCATTTCCCACAAATGATCAGTCTTCTTGTAGGAATATGGTGTGATAAAGAAATCAGAAGTATTCCAGTCACACTGCATTTGCATGCAATATTCGAGACTCACTACCCAATTTCCAAGCCAAATAACAGACTGTCTTAAATCATTAATTTGATTAGCTAATTTTTGATCAATGCCCTGTTGAGAATTCCACATTTGGGTAGAATTGGCTTGTCAATCATTAACAAAATGAGCCGTTTGAATAGATTGGTGTAATACCATTCCGGCAGTGGTGGCCAGTGCAGTAACTGTAATTAGGCCCATGATCACAGCGATTAAAGTGAAAACAAATCTCTTAGATCTTTTGAGAATTTGTTATAACACTTCATCAATTAAGTGTACTGAGGGGGAGGATTCCCAAGATCTGGGTAAAGTTACCAGTATCCAGATTCCTTCTTGAGCTCAAACCAACATTACACTTTTCCTGAAGTCAAAACAGGAGTTAACACAAGTGTATAAATGACAATTAATGCACTGGACAGTTTGATTGTTCATCCAAATTTTGATATTTCCCACTAACAGCGTGTAAGGAGGCTTAACACAACTCTGTATAGGAATAGTCAGGCTGGAGGTAAACGAAGCAGAATGTTTGAATCTACGTTGATACTGAGGAAGGGGGCGACAGTGGCAACACCCGATGTTCTCCGCCATAAAGAAGCAAGTCAAGGTGCCCCGGGATGCCAAAGAGGTACAGGGGCATACCTGGATCGAGAAGAATTATAATGCCAATTGGAGTCCCATAAAGGAGGATCGGCATCAAAAAGAGGAAAAGGGTTCAAAGGGGATTTATCATGGGGTTCAGAATCGCGATGCGAGGGGCAGTAGTGGGGATAACGGAAAAGTTTCCCCTTCCCATACTCGCAGTCTGGACATGGCAATAGCCAATTTCCAAAGTTCTAGGTGTTCTGGGCTCAGAATGGAGAATATCATACGAGGCCTTGGAAAAGGGGGTAATGCCCTTATCTTCCCATTTCAGAACGAGCTGAACCTCCTATGCAAAGTAAGATGAAGATCCTCGTCCTCCCAATAAGAAATAAAATAAGTAGCCTCCAGGCATTCCCTTCCGCCAGAGGAACAGTTGTTTTATAAATAGCCTTTTGGTGCCCAGTCTATTACTAAACCATATGAGTAATACTACTGCATGTGAGTTAACGCAATCTTCCCGAATTAAAGTTTTAGATGGGCCCTCAAAATTTTTAGGACATGGTTTTCCTACAGGTTTATACTGAAAGTATGGGGTATCTCCTATTACTCCCCTTTTTATTTGTATTAAAGGAGAAAGGGAGAGCTGGAGACTAAATGTCCCCATTCCCCTGTGGCTAATCTCTCTGGAAGATAAGCAGCCCAGACTTGAGTTTCTCGATAGATACAACCAGGTGCATGTCTGAGGCACAGAGAAGGATATTTATAACCCATAGTAACATTAAATGCAGTGCCGCCTTCTGGTTGACCGGGGCAATGGTCATCTGTAGCTCCAGGCGCACACTATCGTTAGTATAGATTTCCGCAGGAGCATCCATCCAGGTGAGAGGTCGAATAAGTGGAGGACCCCTCCGTTCAGGGTCCCTGACTTCCCAACACAAATGAGATTGGCAGTGAGGGCATCACCAAGCGTCCCCTCGTCTGTGAGGGGCCCACAGCACCTCTGGTCCATCTTAGCTGGAATCTGGCTTTGGTGACACACTGACTTGTGAATCCTACTTCAGTCTCCCAGTGCTGAATCATGTATCACCTTGAAGCCACAGTTCCTTCATCTGGAGAATGGGTAGAATCTGCACCTCACAGTGCTGATGAGATGGGTCAGTGTTAGCGTGGTGCCTACCCACCAGCAGCTGGTTTGCAGCCCAAAGGTCTCCCCAGCAGGCTGGCCTGGCCTGGCCTGGCCGCACCGTGCTGCTCCTCACCTTAGCAGGGCTCCAGAAATTTAGGGGTCAACCACGCAAGTAGGTGGGGGTTATCTGAGGATGTCCTACCCAAACAAATAGTTCCGAGATTCACAAGTCTGGAAATCAGGACTGAGGATCAGGAGCCAGCCAGAAGGGAACATGGAAAGGCCACAGAATTTCAAGTGGCGAGGGCTTTCACTCAGTCACCCTCCAAATTAAATAGACATGGGGCAAGATGTGTCACCTCTGTAAGCCTCATATTCTTCATCAGTAAGCTGGGGCTGAACAGAAGGTCGTGTGTCCATTGAAAGCCAGAGAAGGAGAAGGAGAAATCCCCCGGGGCTGGCTGGCTTGATCAGAACCAGGCTTGGGCTGGGAAGTGGTGAGGGGGTAGTTGAAGTACCCACATAATTAAGGGTGCTTCACATTAAATTATAGGTATTTGAAGTTGAGGATGAGC